AGTCCAAGATAAGATGTGCAGGATGGAAAAGAAAAAGGATGACACATGGCTGGGGAGATTTGGTGATATGAATATGTTAATATGACCATAACACGATGAGTTGGATCAGGCCCTGTGCTGCCTCCATCTATCCCCACACACCTGGATTGGGCCCCAGGGCTCTGCACCGCCTTCACATACTGGGATTGGGCCCTGTGTGCCAGGATCGGGTCCTGGGGTCCCACATTGTGCCAGCCTGGTGTAGCACTGCCCCATATGCCTGATCCAGCATGCAGGGCCATGCTATCCAACCTCTGGGGCTCCCCACAAGTCCAGAAACGTGACAGCAGGGGAGAAGTGTCACTGCTCCCCCACTGCCGGATGTTCGGACCTGTGGGGAGCCCTGCCGGGCGGATGACCCTGTACCAGGGGCTGGATCTGGCCCATGGGCTGGGGCTTGAGCACTCCTACTCCACAATCATGGGGCATTCCCGAAGGTAGTGCTTCAACAGCCCCACTGATACAATGCCCATCCAAGTCAATGAAAATCTTCCTATGACATAAAATGGCAGCTGGATCTGACTGTGCAACTGTGCCCTTGTCTACACAGGAAGGTTTTTTACATATAGACCAGGGCTGCATTTCTGAAACTGGTATAAACATATTCCTGAAGGTGCCTGTCAAACTTCTGCAGTACAGTAGAGGAAGGAATAAGGAAGCAGGAGGAAAAGGAAAATAATAAATAATAAAATAATAATAAAATAAATAATAAAAAATAAATAAATACAAAATGAAGACTAGAGTTTCTCTTGGTTGCAATGTAGAATCACAGGGGCACATAGCAGAAGAACAACTTTAAAAAAGGATACGTGACACCAAAATATTTAAGAGCCACAAAGCCAGGGTGTAAATTTAAAGAATGATAGTGTCCTTTAGTGGAGACTTTCTTTAGTTTAGCATAAACTTTTTATTCTTAAGTAGCACAAACCAAAGCAAAAAAGGGCTTTTTATTTATATTATAGGCTTTTTATTTAATATAATATTTAAGATATCATAGTAATTTATTTATTAGATACAGGGTGATTAAAAATGCCCATCTGAGACTCTGTGCGCCCTAATACATTAATTAGATAAAACAATGTAATCTGAGTAGCATTAAAAGAGGAATTCAGCCAGCTGCCTACACAAACTTTCTGCTCTTTTAGTCACTGTAGGAAGCAAAATCTCAGCAAACCCCCTGTCAAACAGATGTCTTATACCAGAATAAAAGTGCACATGGGGGATTAGGCTGTTATACTGGTTTCAGTTCAGACCTTAGGGTATCCTGAAAAATTTTCCTAAGTTGCGGAAATCTGTGTCAGAAGCTATCAGTCCCACAGAGAGCAGAGAACAGTGATTTTTTTGGAAAAAATAAATAACCATTTTGGCCTGAATTTTAGCTGGGCATTATCTCAGCCTTCTATATTGCAGGTGGATATAATGGCTGCTACAGCTGCATCCATTTATGGGCCTAATTATCTGGTTATGCCTGTAAATCAGGCAGCAGGGCTTCTAAATGGGTGTAATTGTGCTCTTCGGCTATTTGTGAAAATGTGGGTATTTAACACATTTTATTGTAATGTTTAAAAATGTAACAGCTTGAAAATTCCAGGGGACTTGCTGATGTGTCCTTTTTGTCTGTTTATTGTCACATGAATAGTGCATGAAGCCATTAGTTTGACAGTTCAAGAGACAGAAGCCCACTCCACTGGCTTGTGATATAACATTGTACTTTTCTTATCTGCACCCTGTAAACCCTAGCAATGTTTCCTTAAAACCGCATCTGGGGTCAATATTTGGCTTGTAAATCCCATGGCCACACTTGCATCTCCTGTTTGCACCATTGCAGAAAACTCTTAGTACGCTGCACAGACATAATGGACTACCCTCCATGGCCTGTTTTTGATGCACAGCTGTGGCATACTGTGGCATCTCGGTGTTCTGAGCCTTGCATTCATGTATTTGTATTGTGGGACACAACATGGCCCCACTTGGCCATTTATTTAAGGATTTAAAATCATTTTGCAAGCTTTAGTATAGGGCTGGACAAAATAGAAAATATCGGGCAGTGTCTTTTTTTCTACTTCGTTTTTTGAAGGTTCTGTGGTCTTTATGGTTCCCCCCCACTTTCTCTCATTTTTCCCACTGCAAGGTGGGGCATAGCATGAAAGTGTCAGAAAGTGGGGAAACTCCTCCAGGCAACCTATTTTTAAAAAAATCCCTTGAAAGTAAAAATAAAATGTGTTTACCTGAAAAAACCACAACCAAAATGATTTTTTTCATGAAAATGTTCATTTTGGTCAAAAGAAAAAAATGTTTGGGAAAAAAAAATCAGGTTGGTTCAATGCAGTGAGCAAGAGCTCACAATCCACACTCAGGCACAGAGATTTGGCCAGTGTCATATGCTGTTCACAAGAGCCCTGAGGTCAGAACCATGAATCTCAGTTGGGCTAATCACTTTTTAGTCATTTTAGCCTCTGTTACACTGGTGCTAAAAAAGTCTAAAAGAGACTCATTGTTAAAAGAGAGCATGGCTGTTTTTAGTGGACAGAAAATGTATAGCACAGCCTGGAGGACCTCTGAAGGCACACCTGATCTGCCAGTCCTCTTGTTTGCCTGCTTCACTCCCCCTTTCAGAGCAGCCTCCAGGGCTGGGAGGTTCCTTGTCTCAGTCTGCAGTGCCCTTGTCAGGCAAAGGGCTGGCAAAGGGAGCTTGTCAAAGAAGGTGCTTTGCATTGATTTGTTTAGATAACAATTTCTGCTTCTGCCTTGATGCTGCTTAGCAATCAGTACCTTCAGGGCCCTTTTCAACACTCTTCTAAGGCAGGGATGTGGTTTTATCCCTATTTAATAGCATTTCAAGACTGCTGTGTAGAGAAAAGTTCAGTGACTTGCCCAGGGCACCATTGCAAGCCAGTGGCAGAGCCTGTGACAGAACGGACATGCTGGGTTAGTGTTACTGCTGCTCAGGCAGACAGAATAAAGCAAGATAGTCCATGTGCTACAGCATACCTCTTTCCACCACATGCCTAAGGGAGTCTAATGCTCTGCTCAGGTAGTCTCACTGACTTTTCTGTCCCCTCTGTAGGGCATTTCTGTACCCATAGGCAACCTAGTTCAAGGTACTGACATAAATCCAACCCTCTTTCCCCCTCACTGCCAGGCACACCATATGTACCATGATTCCCTGTCCAGACACTAAACAGTCTCTGTGATTTCCTAGCACACAGCTACAACTTGTGTTATGCCATCAAGGCAGATGATCTCCCAGGTGGCAGGCAGCAGAGCCAGAAAACTGGCTTTGTTTGTCAGATGCCTGAAGCAGATAAGCTTGGAAAGTGATCTGCAACTCTGCAAGAGCAGGGTACTACTAACTGGCTCAGCCCAGAAACACAACACCTGAAGCTCCAAATCTCAGTAGAAGACAAATGGGTTCGTCATTTGCCTTTCAAAGGCCTGGCAGCCAGGGCCCTGAGTGGGAGGTTTGTGGATCTTGCCCTTCTAGGAAGACTGAAACTTTTCAACTGCACAGTCTGGAGAACAGCTTTCTTTTTCAAAGTAGCTACCATTGTACATTTGTCCATAGCCTTAATAGGGCGGGGAAGCACAGAATTGGTACACAAGTCCCGAGTGCCCATTAGAGGGGGCATAAGCATCGTAGCCACTGCCAGCCCAACTGCTGCCCAGGGTGCAGGACCTGGTCATAATGCCTCTGGCTCAGGCCACACTAAAACTAAGTTAAACCTCTTCCAAAACGGGGCTTGCACAAACGTGTCACTTCTCCAAACATCATGCTGGTGCTCTGTGCAGTGCTGATCCTGCACTGTGTTAGTCTGAGCATCTCCCAGAAGTTTGCTTGGAAGCCTCTCCCCAGCAGCCCTAGCCAGTGTTCTGTGGAAGCATTGAAACCAGTGGTCCCAGCATCCTTTTTCATGCTGGATCTGCCCCCAGCATTTAGGTAGACATGCACAGTCATTTTGCAGTGCAAATAATGTTAAATAGCAAGGTAGGAGGCCAGGGGCCTACAGGATACCATTTGTGTCCCATATTCTGAATACAGAATCCCCACAGTGTTTGCTGCACCGTGATCCTGACTCTTTCATGAGGGATGATGCTTCAGTGCCCATGGACTCTGACTAGCCAGAAGCAAACTTTCCCCTAGTCCTGAGTTGGTTCCCAGCTATGAGTGATCATGGATATTTCATGAACCATTTTCACACAAGTCCTGGTGATGTATGATTTGCTTAGTGGTTGGAGTGGGGAGGAGGGGAATTTATATTATTTTGTGGGTCCGTGGTGCTGAATAACTATTTTGTGGTGAAATCCTACACAAAATCAATTCAGACAGGCGGATTTCAAGCAGAACATGACACATACTCTGTCCCTTCATCATTGTGCACGCACACACACATACACACAGCTCTGAGTGCATGATTAGAGGCCTAGAGAGCAGGTCATATGAAGAGAGGCTGAAAGATGTGGGACTGTTCAGCCTGGAAAAAAGAAGACTCAGAGGGGACTCGGTGGCAGCCTATAAGTATATTAGGGGTGCACATCGGGGCCTGGGGGAGCATCTATTCACCAAGGCCCCCCAGGGGAGGACAAGAAACAATGGGCACAAAGTGTCTTGATGCCCACCTTGCTGGGTCATCTGACCCCAGCAGTCTGTCCTGCCCAAGTGCAGGGGGGCTGCACCCGATGATCTGTAAGGACCCTTTCATCCTTGACATCTATGAAACTATGAAACCATTTTCATAACCATTTCCCCTAACATCTATGAAACTATGAAATCATTTTCTTCAGTAACTGAGTGTCCATTATGACAATGAATCCTTGGGGAATGTGATAGCTACTGCAGTTGGGCTATAAAGCACACAGAGGTATATGCACATAGCCATTAGTGTTTAAATGGGAATGAGGCATATTTAATGCTTGGCTGAATATCTGTTTGATGCCTCTGCTTTTCTTTTGCTTGAATACAGGGCTTTCAGTCATTTTCAAAATGCCAGAGAAGTGTCACAGGAGAACCGCCAAAAGATTAGAGCAGCAGAGGTGAGCCCGCAAGAGGTAATTCTGAGGACAAACAGCGCTATTCTGAAACAAGATGTAGTCAAGAGGACAGCAGAAGATGAAGTAAACATCAAGGAGAAGCAAAAAGAAGGCAAGAATACAAGACCAACATCCAATGAGAAACCAGCCAAGAACGGTGTAGCAGGAGCTCCCAATGACAAGCCTGCCAAGGATAATGGTGTACCAGCAGCGCCCAGTAACAAGCCAGCCAAGGATAATGGTATACAAGCAGTACCCAATGACAAGCCAGCCAAAGATAACGGTGTACCAGCAGTACCCAGTGACAAGCCAGTCAAGGATAATGGTGTACCAGCAGTGCCTAATAACGAGCCAGCCAAAGATAACGGTGTACCAGCAGTGCCCAATAATGAGCCAGTCAAGGATAATGGTGTACCAGCAGTGCCCAATAATGAGCCAGCCCAGGATAATGGTGTACCAGCAGTGCCCAATAATGAGCCAGCCAAAGATAACAGTGTACCAGCAGCACCCAACGACAAGCCAGCCAAGGATAAGAGCATAGCCCAAAACCAGGCAAAAATGGAAGTGGCCCCCACGTCAGCTAAGCCTGGTGCTGTGAGACCTGTGACACATGGCCAGGGTCACCCTAGCCCTGCAGCGCAGAAGCCAGCTGTTCCCACAGGCCAGAGGGTCATGAGTCAGGTTTCTGCAGTGACAGAAAAGAAAAGGCTGAAGGCTGCTGATTTCAAGTCTGAGCCCCAGTGGGATTTTGAGGACCAGTATGTCCTGGACAGTTTGTCTCCACCATCGGTAAGCTCTGTCTTGTAATTACACCTCATGGTTGGCCTTCACATTTTGGTCTCATAGCCTTATAAGTCACATAGCTAATTATAAGTCACATAGCTAATTAGTCTCTTCCCTGAAAGGGAGCCAGTACAGCAACTTGGAGGGTTCAAAATGGTGGAGGAACTGGGGTTTGTGGAGAAAATATCATTTCTTGGAGCCAAAATTTGCTTTCGCTTAGCCCCCCTGTATATCTACTGACACGGAGGCCTCTACAACAAGCCTTTGTTTAAAATCAGTGTAATGTTATATATAGCCAATGATGAAGATGGGCAAGAGTAGGTTTTCACAAATCTTTGCCAGCACAACCCTGGGAAAAGGCTTTGACATAGAAGCTAATTATGTCCATTTAGGAGGAACAGATGTTATTTTCAGTGAAAAGTTTATTCTTCCTCCCTCTTCTATCCCCACCTCCAATGTTTTGCAGATGGATTACTGCTTTCTCCTCCCATTTGTCCCAGTTAAATAGCTTAAAGATATTGGCAGCTCTACTTTAAGTTCACAGCCCAATTCACAAGGGAATGGTGGGCTAGATCTTTTTGCCTGGTCTCAATCTGGATTTGAAAGGGAGCATTTGCATTCTTAGAAGAAATAAGTGAGAGTTAGCTCCAGGGCTGATTGTATTTGCAATTAGGCTTTTCCCAGAGAGCCATTATCAAGGCTAGATGAAGCACACTTGGTGTTGTCCCTGCCTTGCAGTTCCTGGAAATACCATGGGGAGGTTTCCCTTGAGGCAGCACATAAAACCCATGAGCCAACATACCAAACTACTGAGGAATCTGCAGAATAAAGGTCTCCTGGAGCTCTCTCCATGTCTGGTCTGGCACCATTAGGACTTTTAACTAACTTCTGCTTTTCCAGCTATTCTTTATTCACATCTATGTAGGAAGCAAACTTTCCGCAAACCCCCTGTCGAACAGATGTTGTATACCAGAATAAGAGTGCACATGGGGGGTTAGATTTATATTGGTTTCAGTTCAGACCTTAGGGTACCCTGAAAAACTTTCCTAAGTAGGGGAAATCTGTGTCAAAAGCCTTTCTGACTACTTCTTGACAGCTCTTCTAGCTTCTCACTTCCTGCCAACTCACAAAGTCAGTATATTCCCAGCTGGTGAAATATGAGGGGGTTCCCTTCACACCTCTTCCCCTGTCAATTCTGGAATGGACCTTGGGAAATCATCTAGTTCAGTGATTCTCAACCAGGGTGCCACGGTATCCTGGGGTGCCTTGAGATCCTTTCAGATGTGCCATGGGGTGTCACACAGTGTTAGCACTGTGGGGTTTACAAACAGGATTCACAAGATAAATCCAGAGATTTCAAATAGAAATCCAGAGTTGTGGTCTTTCTGAGTTCTCTGCAGCAGAAAAAACTGCTCTATTATTTTTCTGTAGTCAAAAGAAGAGTCAAAACTAAGAGCTGACATTTTTGACGGGTGCCTCAAATCTATCTAGGGTGCCTTGGATTTAAAAAGCTTGAGAACTACCGATCTAGTCCAACCCTGTGCTTTGTGGTAGTCAGTGATACTTAGACCACCCCCAACAGATGCTTGCCCATCCTATTTTTAACAGTCTCCAATGAATGTGATTCCACAACATGCCTCTGTAGCGTGTCTCAGTGTTTCAATGCTCATGTGGTTAAAGAGTGTCCTTTATATCCAATCTCCATCTTCTTTGTGGCAAATTAAGCAGAATCTTCTTGTTCTTCCCCCAGCAGTGTTGGAAAACAGTTGGTTCCTGCAGTGTTGGCCTTTCATATATCTCAGTTCTCTGATTTCTACACTAAAGAAACCCAATTCCTTTAGCCTTTGCTCATGAATCATGGCCAAGTGCAGTGCACTGCCAGTGAGAATATTCAAAGGAGGCCAGTGACTGGCTATCATGGACTTGCCTATATTGCAATGGTGGTGGGTCCTGATGGGGATAAGCCCAAGAATGCCCCGTTTAACCATGCTGGCTGACACTCCCCAAAGTGGGAAGTTCACCAATGAGGCTCGTTTCAGCTCATCTCCAGTGGCTACTCACAGACATGCTGGAGACCGATGTCTTGAGAGCAGACCAGAAGAACAAGCCTGGACTAACCTCACTGGTATACTTGAAGGCTTGGAGTGTGCCTGTGGTCATAGGTTGGATGGGGCACGATTAGGACCATCCTTGCAAAGATCTGTGACTGCTGTGGTGTGGACAAGTCCCCTGGGGTGTGTGCTGATTATTATTTACATTACAGACACAGGAAAATGACAGGAAAGGGGATAGATTTTGGATAATAATCTATTATGTGTCTGTGTGTGCTGCAGATCCTCTTTTAGCAACACGCTTTGTAGTTCCACAGGGTGTGGGTGTGTCCAATAGAAAAATGCTGGATAAAAGCAAGGCTTTTGATTGCTGTGATTATGACTTATAAATGGGCTGGGTCAATATAATTGCCTAGTATAATTAAACCATCATTTCCACTCTAGCTAAATAAAATGCTTTGGCGCTGTTAAGCAATTGAGAGAGGCATAGCTATTTGCAAGCAGGAGGTCGAAACTTCCTCCTGCATATAACAAGTTGTTATTAAACAGATCTGTAAAAGTATCTTAGAAAGACTAAACACTGCTGCCCCAGATCTAGGGTACTGCTCCCATAATGCAGTGTGGCTTGCTATGGATTCAAGGGGCTGCTCTTCCCAACATATTACAGGTGCATGATCTAGATAATGAGGGCCATGCTACTGTATTATTGAGCCACAATTAGAGATAAGCAGATGATCATAGCACATATTTTGTTACACAGATATGCTTTGTTTTCTATTTGTCGGGCTATCAGCTTAGGCCTTGTCTATGTGGAAGTGTTACATTTTTGAAAGCTCACATGTGAATTTAAATTGATATCACTTATACCTGCCCACCCATAAAACTTGCCCAAGTAAACAGGACAGTAACATTTTCTGAGGGGTAGAGGTTTTGGGAAATTTCTTCCAATATTATTTTTATTTCTGCAGCTTGAGTGGACAGTTCTAATGGGAGATTTGGGTCCTGAGATCAATAGTATACACCCTAACCTTTCAAAAAATCATAAGGAAGGCTGATTATGGACATGAAAAATAACACAAAAACAGTGCTTTAGCAGAAGACGAAGTGCATTAGTTCAACCCGGCTCCCCAGCATCTGTATAGATTGGTGCACTTCAGCAGGGCCTTTTGGCGCTTGTATCTAAAATTCATTGAATCAGCTATTAGATAAAAGCACCAAAAAACCCCACTGAAATGCCCAATCTATACAGATGTTGGGCAAGCCGGGTCAAACTAATGCAATGCTTCTTCTGGGCATGAGTGGTACTTGGCACAAGAGTGCACTAAGATTAAAGTAAAGCACTAGGTTGGTTTGTTTGTTTTTTTTACATCTGTAAGCAGCCACGGTCTTGAAAAGAGGAGACTGTTTTAAAGATCATATGATTTTTAAAGAGCATTTTGTCTTATTTTTCATTTGTTTTCTAGCTGTTTTGAGCCTCAGTTCCTATTTTCAAAGCCATGAGGACTAGAAACTTACTTTTATTGAAAATGAAAGCAGAGCTGCACATGACTCCAGGAGCAGGAGCTTTAAGAAAAGCAGCACATCTGTCTAGTAAGGATCTCCAAAAGAGTTGTCAGAGCTGACGACACTCCATAGTGTCGTTTGTACCATGCCACGTGTTAGAATCATGTTTCTACTGTCAATGTGAGTTCAGAATTTGTTTTCTCCTGCTCTTCTCTAAAACTGGCAGTTTCTGTGAACGCGCCTGCTGGAAATCTCTTTGTTAGAATTCATGCAGAAAGCAAACACAAAAGGGCAGCAAATCTTGCTGAAACCTGTTCGGTGTTTGATTTTAGCAAGGCTTTTGATGCTATCCTCCATAGCTTCTCATTAGCAAATTACAGAAATATGATTTAGATAAAATCACCATGACAGGGTGCAGAACCAGTTGGAAAACCTCAGTCTGACAATAGATGGCAGTGGCTTACTGGTACGGTGAGAGTTCATTTCAATTGGGGTCTGACAGTTCAGTCCTGAGCCCAGTTGTATTCAGTATTTTTAGTAATGACTGGGAGAATATGCTTAGAAAACTTGTGACTGACCCACACTTTCATTCTTGATAAATACGGTCAGAAATCTCCATGATCCGGTACCAAAAAAACAAAACCAAATGCAAAGTATTTACATTTAGGAAGGAGAAATGAAAAACACAAAAGCACAAAGAAGAATGGGGTAGGGTGGGGAGAGGTAAGTCCTTGAACGCGTGAGGTGAGGAGGTTGTAGAAGGCCGGGCAGAGGAAGTTCATAAGGACAGGTCAGATAGACAATAGACAGCTTGAAGGGATGGTTAGGGAGGTGTTGCCAAGAGGACTGGACTGGGACCCAGTTAACCTGTTCCTGTTCCTGACTCTGCCTCTGATCTGTGTGACCCTGAGTGAGTTACTTCCCTTTTGTTTCTCTTCCCAACCCTTTTCTGTTTAGTCTGCCAAGCGCTTGGCCACAGTGGCTTTCAGGTTTCTAGGCACTACTCTAATAGTAACAGTGGTCCAGGCATACGACCAAGAGCAGCAACTCCTGAATTCTGGTGCTGTGGACTTAGGCAAGTTATTTGGCCTTTTGCTGTGCTGCGATATTTCATAGATGTTCGGGTTGGAAGGGACCTCAATAGATCATCGAGTCCGACCCCCTGCATAGGCAGGAAAGAGT